ACCGTGTACCACCTCCTGCAGGTGTGTAGTATGGACTCCCCGTGTCCCACCTCCTGCAGGTGTGTAGTATAGACTCACCGTGTCCCACCTCCTGCAGGTGTGTAGTATGGACTCACCGTGTCCCACCTCCTGCAGGTGTGTAGTGTGGACTCACCATGTCCCACCTCCTGCAGGTGTGTAGTATAGACTCACCGTGTACCACCTCCTGCAGGTGTGTAGTATACACTCACCGTGTCCCACCTCCTGCAGGTGTGTAGCGTGGACCCCCCGTGTCCCACCTCCTGCAGGTGTGTAGTGTGGACTCACCGTGTACCACCTCCTGCAGGTGTGTAGCGTGGACCCCCCGTGTCCCACCTCCTGCAGGTGTGTAGCGTGGACTCACCGTGTCCCACCTCCTGCAGGTGTGTAGCGTGGACTCACCGCGTACCACCTCCTGCAGGTGTGTAGTGTGGACTTACCGTGTACCACCTCCTGCAGGTGTGTAGTGTGGACTCACAGTGTACCACCTCCTGCAGGTGTGTAGTGTGGACTCACCGTGTACCACCTCTTGCAGGTGTGTAGTGTGGACTCACCGTGTACACACATGCAGCTGGAGACGACTGAGGCCCACCATGGTACCACCTCCTGCAGGTGTGTAGTGTGGACTCACCGTGTACCACCTCCTGCAGGTGTGTAGTGTGGACTCACCGTGTACACACATGCAGCTGGAGACGACTGAGGCCCACCATGGTACCACCTCCTGCAGGTGTGTAGTGTGGACTCACCGTGTACACACATGCAGCTGGAGACGACTGAGGCCCACCATGGTACCACCTCCTGCAGGTGTGTAGTGTGGGTTCACCGTGTACCACCTCCTGCAGGTGTGTAGTGTGGACTCACCGTGTCCCACCTCCTGCAGGTGTGTAGTATGGACTCACCGTGTCCCACCTCCTGCAGGTGTGTAGTATGGACTCACCGTGTCCCACCTCCTGCAGGTGTGTAGTATGGACTCACCGTGTCCCACCTCCTGCAGGTGTGTAGTATGGCCTCACCGTGTACCACCTCCTGCAGGTGTGTAGTATGGACTCACCGTGTCCCACCTCCTGCAGGTGTGTAGTATAGACTCACCGTGTTCCACCTCCTGCAGGTGTGTAGTATGGACTCACCGTGTCCCACCTCCTGCAGGTGTGTAGTATGGACTCACCGTGTACCACCTCCTGCAGGTGTGTAGTATGGACTCACCGTGTCCCACCTCCTGCAGGTGTGTAGTATAGACTCACCGTGTCCCACCTCCTGCAGGTGTGTAGTATGGACTCACCGTGTCCCACCTCCTGCAGGTGTGTAGTATGGACTCACCGTGTACCACCTCCTGCAGGTGTGTAGTATGGACTCACCGTGTCCCACCTCCTGCAGGTGTGTAGTATAGACTCACCGTGTCCCACCTCCTGCAGGTGTGTAGTATGGACTCACCGTGTCCCACCTCCTGCAGGTGTGTAGTGTGGACTCACCATGTCCCACCTCCTGCAGGTGTGTAGTATAGACTCACCGTGTACCACCTCCTGCAGGTGTGTAGTATACACTCACCGTGTCCCACCTCCTGCAGGTGTGTAGCGTGGACTCCCCGTGTCCCACCTCCTGCAGGTGTGTAGTGTGGACTCACCGTGTACCACCTCCTGCAGGTGTGTAGCGTGGACCCCCCGTGTCCCACCTCCTGCAGGTGTGTAGCGTGGACTCACCGTGTCCCACCTCCTGCAGGTGTGTAGCGTGGACTCACCGCGTACCACCTCCTGCAGGTGTGTAGTGTGGACTTACCGTGTACCACCTCCTGCAGGTGTGTAGTGTGGACTCACAGTGTACCACCTCCTGCAGGTGTGTAGTGTGGACTCACAGTGTACCACCTCTTGCAGGTGTGTAGTGTGGACTCACCGTGTACACACATGCAGCTGGAGACGACTGAGGCCCACCATGGTACCACCTCCTGCAGGTGTGTAGTGTGGACTCACCGTGTACCACCTCCTGCAGGTGTGTAGTGTGGACTCACCGTGTACACACATGCAGCTGGAGACGACTGAGGCCCACCATGGTACCACCTCCTGCAGGTGTGTAGTGTGGACTCACCGTGTACACACATGCAGCTGGAGACGACTGAGGCCCACCATGGTACCACCTCCTGCAGGTGTGTAGTGTGGACTCACCGTGTACCACCTCCTGCAGGTGTGTAGTGTGGACTCACCGTGTCCCACCTCCTGCAGGTGTGTAGTATGGACTCACCGTGTCCCACCTCCTGCAGGTGTGTAGTATGGACTCACCGTGTCCCACCTCCTGCAGGTGTGTAGTATAGACTCACCGTGTACCACCTCCTGCAGGTGTGTAGTGTGGACTCACCGTGTCCCACCTCCTGCAGGTGTGTAGTATAGACTCACCGTGTACCACCTCCTGCAGGTGTGTAGTGTGGACTCACCGTGTACACACATGCAGCTGGAGACGACTGAGGCCCACCATGGTACCACCTCCTGCAGGT